AATATGTATTTGTGTATGTAATAACCACCACATACATCATCATACACCGTTACTCAACTGGATATACTGTGATCACTCAGGTCACCTTCGGTGCTCTGTATCTGTATCTCTGGAATTAATAGGTACGGAATTGGCTAAAAATATATTGAGTAGCTCTGGTCAGGTATATTTTTTAAAGAAGAATGTTGTTAACGATTGCTGGAATAAAATAAACATGCAGAACGCAAAAGTAGAAACAAGAAATGCGTAAGATATTTGAATGCGGAATCAGGAGGCCCCTGATAGATCTCTGCCTCCATCTCTTCAATTTCAACTCTTATATCATTCCATACATCTTACATGTCTCTCTCCTGAATAAGTCGAGCAAATTTCAAGTAGTAAGTTATTGTGATATGAGGCTTTACAGCTAGAACAAGTGACTAGAGAAACAACCATTGCTAGATAACGGCTGTGTAACACAATACCAGGGCCATCGCTAAGCAACATACGTAAGCAGCAATGGAGGAAATATTGGAAACGCTACACAGTCCGTTCCGAATCTACATAAGAAGTCATTCTGGATTCATAGGGATGGTGCTCGAATCTGAGACAGTAGAATGTGGTCATGAGTCCTGTTGGACTTGGACCTGAGAAATACTGTGCTGGCAAGGGCTAGCAGCAATTTAAACGACAGACCCATCCTCGCGTCAGAGTGGATGTTACATAAGGACTATGACAGCAAGTGTTCAGTTAAAACAAAAATCTGGCCTTGAGTCTCAAGGGGCTTGGCGCCAAGATGAACTGATTGGCGGTAAACCACCAATCGTAAAGTAACTCTGAATCTCTGACATAGTGACCTGTCCCATGTGGACGCGGGGTCGAATATCTGCACCGTAGCCCCGAAAGCCGTAGGAGGCGACGAAAATGGAACCCAGTGCCTGGAGGTATAACCGGGCCACCCTGTTCCTGGGGAATATAAATACGGGGACCTGGCCCTCCAGGTTGGGGGAGCCTCGAATGTGAGGCAGTTGAATGTGGTCATGAGTCCCGTGGGACTCGGACCTGAGAATGACTGCGTTAGCGAGGAACAGCAGCAATTGTAAACGACAGACCCATCCTCTAGTATGAGAGGATGTTACAGAAGGACTATAACCGCAAGTCTCAAGGAGCTTGTCGCCAGTCGTAAAGTAACTCTGACACAATGACCTACACGTAAGATAGGCATGATCTGCATTGCAAAGCCTGTACTGACAGAGGAGTTGTACACAGTACAAAAGGAAGAATTTCCAGTAACATGCTATATGTGCGATACGTACATTTGACGAAAGGCCAAGCATATTCATAACAGGCAAACACATCTTCTCCTCAGAGAGTGTGTTAAATAAGGACTATCACCGCAAGGGTTCAGTTGAAAAATATGTCTCTCGTCGTAAGTCTCAACGGGCTTGACCCGAAGGCCAACTGATTGGCGGTAAACCGCAATTCGTAAACTCTAACTCTGACTGTGAATTAGTTCGGCAGTTGGAAGCCATTCAGTTAGGCTATGAAGCCAGTCGAGACTTGACAGCTTCAGTTGGAAATCAGTCCAGCCCGGGAGCTAGGAGCTGAAGAAAGTACCGGCTGAAGCCAGCGGTCAGAGTATGAGGTTGACGTGAGGTGGTCGCCACACTGCACGGACATGAGCCCGGAAGCAGAGGTACGTACGCCGATGGAAGCCGCTACCAAGCAATGTGACTGAGGACACTAGTGTATGTGACAGTGATCTATGAAGCGCAGCCACGAGCCGTAAAAGCGTGCAATAAATCCAGTTGTCAATCCAAAACCCGTCTATAGTCACTCGAACGGGTGATAATATAGGGTATACACAAAAGAATGGTGCGGTTTCAAAAGTAAATAAAAATTTAATTTCTCAACTTACACGGTCACAAAGCGGCCTCCGTAGTCTAGAGGTAACGTTCCCACCTCATGACTCGTAGTACGCGGGTTCAAATACCCGGCGGAGGTCGTCGAATTTTTAAGGGCGGAAAATTTCAGGGAACAAGTCCTCCGGGAGGGACTTTAAGCCGTGGGTCCCGTGTCGTAGCTTTACGGCACGTAAAAGAACCTCATATCTCCAAAGGAGGTCNCACCGTCAGAAGCGGCAACTCTCCAAGTTTCTCATGCGTTAATTACAAACCATCAATGTGTGCACCCTGGGTCACACGACACACATCCACACGGTAATCAAACTCATCCCAGACCCGTTGTAGCATGTCCGCTGTAATGGTCTGCAGCGCATGCGCTATCCGATCACGAAGTTCATGGATGGACGTGGAAAATGGCGGTACATAAACGCTGTCTTTAAGGAACCCCAAAAGAAAGAAATCGCACGGTGTAAGATCTGGCGAACGGGGTGGCCAAGGGAGAAGGTTGTCTTCTCCATTGGCAGCAGAGTTTGATTACCTCGTGGATGTGTGTCGTGTGACCCAGGGTGCACACAGTGAAGATTTGTAATTAACGCATGAGAAACTTGGAGAGTTGGCGCTTCTGACGGTGTGCGTTGTGACCGTGTAAGGTGAGAAGTAAAATTTTTATTAACTTTTGAAACCGCACCATTCTTTGGGTATACCCTGTATAATTCACTGTTCTCATAATTCATGTCCCAACATTTTCTGTCCGGTATCTATCCTAATGGCTGGTCGAAGGAAGTACAGAATTACCTATACACATATGGAATAAATATTATGAATAATAACAATAATGGAGCTGAGCCCTTCTGGAGGAGACGCCAATTCTGAAGCTACTCAAGAATTTCCCAGCATTTTATGGAACCCGAAGGTTCATTACTGCGTTCACAAGAGCGTTCCACTGGTCCCTATCCTGAGCCAGATCTATCCAATCCATACCATCCCATCCTAATAATAATAATAAGCGATGAAATAAGATTCCTGACGGCACTAATACATAGAAATTACCTAATCCGTGAAGGCAGAAATAGGAAAGTTGTACTATACAGTTCTATAAGATATTTACTCATATTTCGTTACTGATTTAACTTCTGCAGTAAGTTATTAGGCTGACATGTAGCGTGAAGGCGAGAAGATAATTTCTTAATATTTGCTGAACTCACCAGAAGCCCTAGGGTAGAGCTGACGATTCCAAGAAGGCCAACTGCCTGGAACTCTTTGTGTTGGACAAAGTAATTTTGCTGGTCAGACACTATGGTCTCGTATACAAACTGCCTTTGAACTTGTAACATGATGTTAAGCATACAGGATATTAGTAACAGCCTTTCGCAAGGTGAACTGCTTTGCTGCTGTTCTCTCACGCTGACAATCTGTTATCAGGGCTGAAGTCATAAGCAGGTTTTAGTACGTTAATCATGTTCGGAATTCTTTAAGCCACAATGATTCACTGCACTGTAGTATAATGCAGGGAAAATTAGCCCTCTAAAATTGAGCACGTTTTAACAGAGGAACAAATATTATACATGGCCAAGCTATACGTTTCTTTTCTTCAGAATCAATCAGATAAACGACGATATTGTGACACGTACGCAGAAAGAATGAATAGTTTAATCAAAGACGTCCGTTGCTAGACAATGGCTATGTAAACACGTTCCCGTGGAAACAGAGGCCGACGCAACAGTGGAGGGATTTTAGAGGATATGCATCAATAGAAGAGCTGACACAGTGGCCCCATGGCGGAGGCGTGGGTTGCGGAACAGTCCCAAATGTTGAAATTGTTGCGCAGCAACGCCTACTGAAGACACAGAAGGCTTAGAACTTGCTATAGTCAACTGTAAAGTGTGTGAAGTAGCGTATGGCTCTATTTGTAGTTACGATTTTAATTCCAACAAATCCAGTTACTAATACAATCCCTGTGTCAAGTTACTCAAACTTCCCCGACAAACGGCGGTCGCTTAGTCGGTATAATTCGGTTTCGGACTAAAATCACGGGAGTTATTTTTTTATCGAACCCGAAAGTTCACTGCCGTCGTCACAAGAGTCCTTCGTTAGTCCCTATCCTGAGACAGATTAATCCAGTACATACCACCCCATCCTATCTCTATAAGATCTATTTTAATATTATCAACCCATCTACGTCTAGGTCTTCATAGTGGTCTCTATCCTTATGGCTTTCCCATAAAAATCCTATATGCATTCGAGCTACATGCTCTGCAAATCTTATTCTCCTTGACTTGATCACTCTGATTACACTAGGTGAAAAGTTCAGGTCATGAAGTTCCATATACATATGCATATGATGCATATGTCATACCATATACAAAGACACACCACCGCCACAAATTCTCGGACTCAGATTAACCTTAAAATAGTTTAAGTAAAATCCATGCCTTGGTTTCTGAAGAGTGGCTTCTATTCAGAGACCTGTGTCTTAAGGAGATCCCTCCCAAGCTGACGACAACTGTTTCCCCCTTTCGTTGTTCGCTGCTTCCAAAGTGCGCGAAAACTTTCTGTAAGTAATTAGTGTGGCATGAAAGTGAATCACAAACATACAAGCAAGCAAGGACACTACTTTGACGAACTGCTACTGCTGTACTTGCTGTACTTGCCCATACGGGATACAGGAAAAGCCGGACTTCATTTTCACTTTTCCTATCTGCACGTATAAGAAAGTTATCCCTTAACAGGCCGTGGAGGCCCATAGGGTTGTGAGACGTCGAGGTTCCCACATTTTCTAGACAATCGGCTTACAGATGGCAGTGAGGTTGTCAGCCTGAAGCGCCAACCCAACCTTTACCCCCGGGAAGATTCCTGGCACTCATTTCTGTTAGAGGCTGAGTCGAACTCAGAGCCATATTGTGGCTGGAAGGATTAGATTAATAGAAAAATATAATCCCATGACCTCATCGAGAACTATCGACCTTCCGACTTGTGGCATTGTGCCTCAACCACCTACGCTACTTCGCGCCCAACTGCTTGTATATTAATTTAAATAACCTGTTGCAGTTCGTTATCGCAAACTCACATCCGTTTAACCGGCTTTCGAAATATAAACCTTTCAGTGTTTCACTGGAAAGCTACGAGGTCGAGCAAGTGGACGACGAAGTGCGAGATTTTGCCACTTCTATAGGTTTCCATGTCCAGAATTTGTGTACTGAATTCTACTGAGAGGTGATATTAGATACAATCCACAAGAACTCGAAGGAGTAGCATTACGTTAAAACTGAATTTCCAGTGTTAAGGGCCGTGGCAGTTTCCAGTGGGGCCGTATTCCTGTAAGTAGAATAAATAAATGAAAATGCTCACAGGTCATATTTTAACAGTGAAAGTTATTACCTAAGCATTGCCCATTGTCTGTAGTTAAGACCATGTCAATAATGTTTCACAATTTTCAGTGAATGCATCCTGTTGTGTATCATATATTATTTATTAATGGAAACCGTCATAACACAACAAACAATAATATGTTAAGTAGCTGTAGTTGTACTCTGTCTCTTGATCATATCGGACATTTACACAACGGAGTAGGCCGTCAAATAGTGTAGTATCAAATATTAAATAACAACATATAATATAACAACGGGCCTCCTAACACCACATCAGCCATTGTGTATATAATATGTCTGTATAAGCATTACATATATTACGATTACAACTGCCAACTTCCAAATACCATCACATATACAACTTTTAACTATACTTTTGTCTGTGTAACCGGTTATTTAAGACTTAAACTTTTACTGTAATTTATATTTATATTCACTCATATCATTTTATGCTACTGTTTTAGTACTGTATCCTATATTTGGCATGCAACTCAATTACGAAAAGTTTAATGTATTTGCCTGATGATGGCCTTTTGAAGGCCGAAACATGTAGCAAAAGTATCTCCTAGAGCTACTTACACATATTGATTGTCGTGTTATGACGGTTTTCAGTAAGAAATAATATTTCAGAAGCTGGTTCCACCTCCATCTATAAATAAAAACTAGGAGAAATGCCCATTCAGTGAAACCTACTAACAAAGCTAGTCCTTGTAAACATAATCACAATCTTAGTTCATTTTCTTTTAAGCACAATAAATATTTTATATATGACTACTTATTGGGACTTTTTTAGTTATGTAAACTTTTTCCCTGAGCAGTGTCCAACTGTCGCTAGCAGGGACGATTTTTACACTGGATTTACCTCCGTCTTCTGGTAGAAAGGAAAAAAGGACGGGGAAGCATTGCCATCTCCGTTGGCTCCTCTACACCAAGCTAGTCCCTGCAGAGATAGTATAAACTCCATACAATGGGCTATATCCAGGAAACCTGTGTGGAGGCGGGGGACGAATACCTTCACCGTAGCTCTGCGAGTCGTAGGGGGAACCAAGTGCCTGGGGTTATAACTGGGGTACCCTGTTCCTGGGGGATACAAATAAGCGGACTTGGCCCTCCAGGTTGGGGGAGTCTCGAATCTGAGGCAGCAAAATATGGTCATGAGCCCCGCGAGACTCGGACCTTAAAATGACTACGCTGGCGATGACCACTAACAACTGTAAACCACAGGTCCATCCTGTCATCAGACAGTATGTTGTGTAAGAACAATAACCGAAAGTGTTAAGTTGAAAAAAAAAATCTGGTCGTGGGTGGGTCTCTAGTGGAGGTAAACCCCCAGTCATAAAGCAACTCTGACAATATCCAAGAAACATGTTACGACATTAATAATAGATTACTGCCACAAATTGTTACAATTAAATACTTTAGTGACCGATATGCGAGGTTTACAAGACGGTGTAATTTCAATTCCAGATAATGACACCACATAGTTTCGTAGGCGGTTACCAAAGTTTCGGAGGAACCTGCTGTCTCCATCTTCGGGTAGAATAAATGACTTTCTTCTGAAATGTTGCCAAACCCCCTACACGACTACACGGAGTCACTCCCAAGAAGACAATAATAGGAAGTATTTTACTGTTGCCTAATAAAAAAATGTAAACGATGACATATTTCTTTACTATTTAATTGCTTAACTAAGCATTATACAATAGGACAATCCTCTGTCCTCTTTCTGACACATAGCTTAAGCATTACAGGCATTCTCATAAGGTAAAGTGACATAAAACATCTTATGTAGATCGCATGTTCAACAGGTGATTCTACAGAGCCTGAGGTACCGGGTATCTACTCACAACACAGATAACTTCCGGTGCCAAGAACTAAGTGCCATGGATGTGCAGAGGTTCAATGTGACTTACGGACTTGAAGCACACAGCCTCGAACAGATTACAAAACAAATCTCATGTGTAAGTAGGAAGAGCCCCTGAACTCACCGTACAACTAACTTGAGCCTCACGATTCGGACAATACACGTGAATCAGAGTTCGATACGCGACTCTTCGTTAGCTGTTACCTAGCAACAGCATTCAAATACAGGGGATGAACGTAAATATGAAAAAAGTTACAGAAAACATTCCAATTGTTGCACTGGTTTTATTGCTTCCTCCGCACTTATCACATGCACGCCATGTGGCGTGTTCAAGCTTCGTACCACTTAAGGAAGAAAGCGACGATGGTGCAGTGAATTTTGGCTTGAAACTTGTAAATCTTAGTGTGGAAGTACTGACATCTGTTGATACGGTTAACGTAGCCCTCGTTCAGAACAATATTAGTTCAGCGTCGAGATCTCAGTGGATACAGAAGTTGTTTCCAAACTGGAAAGCTTTTTACATCAAACACAAAATTTCGGAACAAGATTTCAACGTGTCAGAAGAAGAAAAATTTTACGCTTTAAAAATGTATGTGAACCCAACTATATTTGTCATCATTATGACCGTCGGTCTGACACAGAACGGAACACTTATCCTAATCTTCCTGCGTCACAGAGAGATACGAACCACGGCCAATACCATGATCTGCAACCTCGCAGTATCTGACATTTTGAACCTCAGCATCTCCGCACCTCTCTTCTGCATGTTCCACTACCCTCACAACGCTCCTGGTGACGTCATACCCTGTCGGTTGTACACCGCGGGACGTCACTTCCTGCTGTGTGTTAGCGCCTTGTCTGTGCTTGCCCTCAGCGTCCAACGCTACTGCATCACGGATCCGAAATTTCTGTACTCTCACAGGAAGAGCTGGTCGCCGACCACATCGCCGATGCTGTACGTCTTCGCAGTGTGGCTGCTGGCATTTCTAATCGCACTGCCCATGTTTCTCTTGCAAGGTGTGTACGGCTACCTGTGCTCCTCGAACACAGAGGAGTCTCCAACCAGGATTCTCTTCCTTCTATATTCCCTCATGTTCTGCGTTCTACTTCCGAGTCTGATGTTCTTCCTCAGCATGCTGACGGCTCGGCGCCTGCGCAAGAGTGCTGTCATCATGCCGTGCGCTCTACGTCACACGACACAAGAGCGTGCGCGAGTAAGGAGCGCGAGGATTGTGACCATCCTGGCCCTGGTCTTCTTGCTGACCTACTTCCCCCTCTGGCTGTGGGCCGCAGTGGTGTACTGGACCGACCCCGACAGGCAAAGTGCTCCAGTGCTGATCTCCGAATACGTCACCAAGTATTTGCTTTTTGCTAACGGGTGCCTGAACCCCACTGCCTTGTGTATAGCTAGCGGGACGTTCAGGAAGTTATTCAAACGCTACCTGTGCTGTTCGGCTGAGCCAGTGGAGAACAGACAAAGTGATATGTAAATTTCTTAAGTAACGCACACTCACATGATGAAGTGAATCAGGACGCGAGTGAAGAATGCCGACTGACTTGTCTACCGTACTTCCATTCTACTGAAGATGAATATACAACAAGGTGTAAACCACGCAGATTGAGATGTTACCTTACGGCAGTGGTTCTCAACCTTTGTGAGACCGCGGCCCGGTAAAATTGATGCCAGGATCCCGGTACCGGGACGCGGACCGGCGGTTAAGAAACACTGCCTCACGGTATGTTGATTCTTGCAGCATGGATTTGCCAGGAGTCCAGTGGCAAAGAGATAAACCCAATGGTGGAGTGTGGCTATACTGTTTGCTCTGACGCCAGAATTTTGACGTGTCTTATGCTGTATTAGGATTGTAAATGGTAGAAAACGCCATTGGTTTTAGGTACGGTATAGGTTTTGTACAAACGTCACGGTACAGTTATGAATCATGCTGTGGACCCATATTTCTATGCATTCAAATTTTTACCCGAACCGAATATGGTGAACAGGAAATGTGGATTTGTTTCTGGACGTCGTGTAGATAACTTACTTACTTACTTACTTACTTACTTACTCATTCATGGAACTGAGCCCTTCTGGAGGAGCTGCCAATTCTGCAGTTACTCAAGAACTTCCCAGCACTTTATGGAACCTGAAGGTTCATTACCGTGTTCACAAGAGCACTCCACCGGTCCCTGTCCTGAGCCAGATCAATCCAATCCATACCATCCCATCCTATCTCTCTAAGATCCATTCTAATATTGTCCACCCACCTACGCCTTGGTCTTCCCAGTGGTCTCTTTCCTTCTGCCTTTCCCACCAATATCCTATACGCATTCCTCGTCTACCCATCCGTGCAACATGACCTGCCCACCTCATCCTCCTTGACTTGATCATTCTAATTATATGTACCTGGAGAAGAGTACAAATTATGAAACTCCTCATTATGCAGTTTTCTCCAACCTCCTGTCACTTCATCTCTCTTCGGTCCAATTATTCTCCTCAACACCCTGTTCTCAGACACCCTCAGTCTATGTTCCTCCCTTAATGTCAGTGACAAAGTTTCACACCCATACAGAACCACAGGCAAAATTATGGTTTTGTATAGTTTAATTTTTATGTTTTTGGACAGTAGACGAGAAGACAAAAGGTTCTGGACTGACTGGTAGCAAGCATTACCCGAGTTCAATCTCCTCTTAACTTCCTCCTGAACCAGGTTTCGATCTGTTATCGTTGTTCCCAAATATCTTAATTGTGCAACATTTTCAAAACATCTGTTTCCTATCTTTCTATCATGATTTTGCCCTGCATTTTGGTGACGAGACAGCAAGATATACTTAGTTTTCTCTGTGTTTACTTCTAGACCAACCTCTTTACTTGCGTCAATTAAAGTTTTTGTTTTTCTTTGTGGTATCTACATTATCACCCAATAGATTCACATCATCGGCGTAGACCAACAGCTGATGTGTCCCGTTTAATTTCAGTCACACCTGGTTTCCCTGGACCTTTCTAATGGCATATTCTAAGGCAAAGTTGAAAAGGAGTGGCGATAAGGCATCTCCTTGTTTTAGACCATTCTGGATAGGAAACTTATCAGACAAATGTTTACCTATACGGACTTTACTATAAGTTTCGTTTAAACACGTTTTAATCAACCTAACTGGTTCCATGGGAATCCCAAACTCTATCAGAATATTGTACAATACTTCCCTCCTAACTGAATCGTAGGCTTTCTTGAAGTCTATGAATAGCTGATGTACTGTCTCATCGTACTCCCATTTTTTCTCCAATATATGACGAATGCAAAAGATCTGATCTGTAGTTGATCTGTTTCGTAGAAACCCACATTGATGATCCCCAATAATTTCATCTACGTGTATATATCGACCTAACCTTGAGAGAAGAATATTGGATAAAATTTTGTATGAAGTTGATAGCAGTGATATCCCTCGATAATTACTACAGTCTTTATCGCCCTTCTTGTGAACTGGTACAATAATAGACTCCTTCCACTGATCAGGCAATTTTTCCTTATACCAAATGGAATTAGATTGTGAATCTTAGAATGTAATATTTCCCCTCCTGCTTGAATAATTTCTACCGGAATTTGATCACTACCTGGCGATTTATACCGTATCAATTTTGCAATAGCACTTTCAACCTCAAGAAACCAATTAATCTCGACGAGTGATTGTAGAAATGATTACATACGAAACATAAATAATTTCATATAAAACTCTGAAAACACTTCCACGCTTCCTGTAATTTAAATCATTAATATCAAGGCATATATATGCTAATATTTATGTATCAGAAGCTTGGAAATACATCTGAAAGTTGTGTGCCAAATTTTTAATGGTGAATAATTCCAATGTTCAGCAGTTCTTTCTCACTGATGCTCCCGTCTACTTTCTTTTCCGAAAGCACAACAAACATACCCTGTCCGATACGGAGCTGAAGAATATAAAACTGATGTTCTGTAGCTGTAGTTCCTAGGGCGTTAGGCTTCACACTTAATTAAAAAGGACAACCATTTTATAAAATATTTGTCGGCTTACATTATAGCACCGTATAAAGTAAAGTAAAGTGAAGTAAAGCTATCCTTGTACCAGGCCGTGAAGGCCCATAGGGTTGTGAGACGTTGAGGTTCCCACATTATCTAGCCAATCGGCTCATAGATGGCGGTAAGGTTCTCAACCTTATGCGCCGGCCGCCTTTTACCTCCAAGAATATTCCTGGTACTCATTTCTGTTAGAGGGTGAGTCAACCCAAAGGCCATACTGTGACTGGAAGGATTAGGTCAATTGAAAAAATTCACCTCTTCGGGATTAGGTCCCGCGACCTTCCGGCTTGAAGCATAGTGCCTCAACCAACTACGCTACCTCGTGCCCCCCTCATGGTATAAAGTAGACGGAAATATGATGGCGCTTCCGTGGACGCAAGAGGATGATTAGCGGTCTCGCAAGTGTCGAAGAGACTAGTTAATTTCCTTGTGTCCGTAGTTAGCGGGCATAAATGTCCCTGAGAAGATTCCCCCATTCATTCTGAAAGGACGAGAGCAGACATCACCTTTTGACGAAGCAAGAATAGCTCATAGTGGCGCCTCATTTCAAAAGGGACCGAATAACCTTAGCGGCATCCAGATATCACGACGCCATATGTATACAGGTTGGGGGGAGGTGGATATGTTTCGTTGTTTCGTAACGATAAAATCTGCAGGACTTTCCGGAAAACACTTTACGTATAATATGCAGGATGGTTCAGGGTGCAAACTACAACCAAAGCCCTATGCGTGCCTTCAGCGTGATGTCTCTCCTTAACACTTCACAGTGCAAAAACTATTTCAACTAGAAGTGCACAGAGATGTGCTATATTTCGGGAAATTTTATACAAGTGGCAGCTTCAGTTTTTTTAAAAATAATTAAGCATTACGCCATAATACACAAAGAGGGGACAGTAGTGTAGTTCCTCGAATTCATAATCGAGGGATAAGATCGAGCTGAGTTCTCGGCATTACGCCCCGACCGCTCTTGGCCCCCAAGAAAAGAGCCTCCAGGTACGCATTGAGTAGGAGGCAGGGTTGGACCTTGAGCTGGTCTGGACACTGTGAATAAGAGAAAATTCTCTGCCCCTGCTGGGAATCAAACCCAGATATCCCAGAGTGCAGCCTGTACCCCACCCACTATACTGAACTGTCAAAGCTCCTGAGATCGCTCTGTACTACGCCTTGTGCGGACGACACATAATGTCAGCACTTCACTGAAGCAGAAAATCGATATGAAGTAATTTTATATTAAGATACAATCCGATCATTGAAAAACAAGTGAAGTGATCGGCTTATGGGAACATGAACTGCTTTGGTTATTAAGTTCTGAAAGGAATATTCCATAATCTGGGGCGAGCTGTAGAAGTAACCTGGTCCAACTTCAGTCGTTTAAGACGTGCAGATATTTTGGAAATAACTGTACTGCAGTTTCAGGTGTGATGGCCATGCATCTTAAACCAGCTTTCTCTTTGAAGAAACACGCTGTAGTTTCAGCGGTACTGTAGAAGAAATGTGATCCAGCTGTAACTTCTAAAGCTACCCACATCTTTTGGAAATAGCTATAGGACTACTGCGGTTTCAACTACAACGTGCAAGAATATTACTTCTATTAGTAGTTTTAAATGCGAAACAAATCATTATTAAATCGTGATACTATATTTTTCGTTTGAATATACGACCATCTTAAACCAGTTATGTTTTTCACAGATACATGAATAACTACAATGAGCTTCCATCAGCAACAAACATGCATCACATATCTCTCGTAAGGTAAAGTTATCCCTGTAACAGGGAGTGAAGGCCCAAACGGTTGTGAGAGGTTGAGGCTCCCATATCTTCTAGACAACTGGCTCATAGATGGCGGTAAGGTTGTCAGCCTTACGTGCCGGCCGCCTTTTAACCCCCTGCAAGATTCTCACATATCACTCATAGATTTTAAAATTGTGCAAGTCATTTTGGAAAAGAAACGGTAGACACATAAGAACACTAATTTTATGATCTTCAAAACGAGCTTGGGCTGCGTTTCTCTATGATAGACGATAAGGCCGGAGTCACTATTCTCGAATTTGAGTGTGTGTGTGTGTGTGTGTGTGAGAGAGAGAACCGTACAACATAGAGACGGACAGATACGGGAAAAGAGAACTGGTATACAAGTACCAAAAACGTGGAGATGGAGGAAAGACTTTATGAGAAGTAAAACGAATTAATTGGTTCTTTCAAAAGCAGATTATTATGTGCGTTGGCAATACGTGTATACTGGAGGGGAGATGGAATAAATTTGTCGGCAGGTTCGGGAATGGAAGAAAAGAGAGGTATATCAGCTATGAGTTTAAATCGACAACGTTCGAGGCCACTGTTTTATTTAAGACAATTAAGAGCAGCAGTTGGCTGTATATACGAAACTTTTCACATTTAATTTCAATAACTGTTTCTACCGTGCGGAAATTGTCATTCAATTACTTTCTGTGCGTAGCGTATCTAGTACTTTATTCAAAGAAGTTTTTTCCAGAAGTTTAATTAAAGAAAACTATATTTTAGTACATAAATTCACAAATAAGCTACGATGTAAACATGACTGAGTATTTATTCGTCACCAAGCATTTCTATTGCCACAGATCTGCATAAAAAAGAGCCTTTTCTGTGGTCGAAAATATTTCATGGAACTTGAACCTGCAAATTCCTCACTATACGCGTACATGACAATAATAAGAACATTCGAAATAGAGGGACAGCTTAACATTGAGCAATATCAAAGAATAAAACTAATCAACGCCTACTCTTCTTCAAAATGACTTTAATTAATATAGGAGTAAAATACAGATTTTATCCTATTCATATTTAAAAGTTACACTGACCCAAAACAAACATAGGAGGCATAACAGAAAGGATTGTGTCCAATATATTTCCAAGACATTGTAATTAGCAAAATCGCAAACGAAAGGACGATTTCGGTAATGAAGGCGAGTAATTACTAATGAGCTTGTTACCAGTTCATTAGCCCAAGGATCCATGTTGCCAGTGTGACAGCGCTCTGTTCATAACAGGAAGTAT